AATATGATTGTGATATTTAAAAAATTAAATGATCCAAAAAATATTACATTAGAATTTATGAAAGAGGTATAATTAATTTATTATTTAATGAAAATTTGAAATTCTTAATTTTACTAATAGTACTACATTTATTAGATTAAAACAGATCATGAATTTTATGGAATAACTCAAAATCCTGAAACAAATAATTATATGAAGGTTTTGTATTATAAATATATTGATAAATATGGTAAATGTAAAAAATGTAATTACATATGTAATGCAATTCATTTTCAACAAAATTTTGAAAATTGGACTAGTGATAATGATAATATTGATAAATTTATTCAAGATACTCAGTTATCAGTTCATGAAAATTATGAAGTATTTAAAAAAGCATTAGAATGGATATCTTATGATAGATTGTATGATATTAAATATATTACAAAGGGAGGATTTGGCAAAATATATAAAGCAAATTGGATTGATGGGTATATGGATAAATGGGATGAATATTATCAAAATTGGGAAAGAAATAATAAAAATATGGTTATAGCTCTAAAAAGTTTAAATAATTCAAAAGATGTTACCTTAAAATTTATGAATGAGGTATATTAATTTTATTAATTTATTTAAATATTTAAATTTGAAATTGTTAATTTTACTAATATATTTGTAACCCTACTTTCATATAGATTATGTTACATAATAAAGGAAAAATAAACAATAATTTTATTATTGAATTTTATGGAATAACTCAGGACCCAAAGACAAAAGATTATATGATGATTTTAGATTATGCAGAAGATGGAAGTTTACGAGATTATTTGGATAAACATTATAGTAGATTAAATTGGGACAAAAATATTGGTTATTTACAAGATGCTATGCTTGGACTTAGATGTATCCATAATAAGGAATTATTTCATCGTGATTTGCATATTGGTAATATATTAAAGCTTAAATATAAAACAGTTATAACTGATATGGGATTATGCAAACCTGCAAATTATGATGCATCAGAAAATTCAATTTATGGTAATTTACCTTACATAGCTCCTGAAATCTTAAGAGGAAAAAATTATACCAAGGCTGCTGATATTTATAGTTTTGGTATAATTATGTATGAAGTAATTTCTGGATTACGCCCATATGATAACATTAGCCATGATGAAATTTTAGCAATAAAAATCTGTAAAGGACTTAGACCAAGGTTTAATATTAAAGTACCTCAATTAATTGTACAATTAATTAAAAGATGCTTAGATTCCGATCCATCAAAACGGCCAAAAACAGAAGAAATTGATAATATTTTATATACATGGCTATGTAACCCAAGTGATAAACAAACAGTAGTATTGCGAACACAAATTGAAGATGCAGATAATATTAACAACAACTCACCAAATAGCACCATACCTTTAACTAATTTAGGATTATCGTATGAAAGTAGGTTACTCAATTTCAATAATCTTCCTGAACCAAAAAATTCTGATGATTATTACGAACAAAATGATAATATAATAAGCAAGGAATTTTCAGGTATTAATTAATAATAAATATAAATCATTTGTTAAAGATACTAATAAATTTTTTATTTATTAAATAGAATCTTTAGAATGTTATCGAATTGATATTTCTTAATTGAATATTGATTAAGGTTAAATTTATCCAATTTGTTGAAGAATTATTAGTAATATTGTTTTTTTATCCATATCTAAATTAATATATTATTTTATTTATTGATTTATTTTTTTTTGTTTTAGATTCAAATAGAGATTTTAAAAGTGCAGAAATGGGCTTTTATAATGATAATAATTCGAAAGTAATTAACACCTTAAGTTAGCATTACTATGTTACAGTATTTGCAGTATAACATTTTTGATAAAACATCATTATTTTTCAAATTTTTCTTTTTTCTTTACACCATTAAAGTTTAAAATTCTGTTTAGTGTTAACTTTTATTAAGCGTATTTTGAAATATAGTATTTGATTTGCTTGTATTTATTTCATTTTACTTTTTTTTTTTTGCTTTTCCGAATTAATGGAATAGCATTTTTTTTTTTTATATAATTAAATTAGTGAGAATCACGCTAAACAGGATTTTAAATTTTAATGATCTATTATATTATATTTTTGATATAAATAAAATTTTTTGTGTATTATTTTATCCTAAAAAATATGATAAGATTTAAAAATTGTTGTATAAATAATTTTACTTAAAAATTTTGTAATAACTTATTAATGTATTTATTCTAATTTAAAGTCATTTTAAAAATGACATACACCACTGGTGCTGAAACCATAATATGTGATTTCACAAAAACTATAGTCTAAACTAAACAAGTTGTACTAATTAAAATTGCTCAGTATCTTTAAAAGTGGTCAGAAAAAAGAATTTGAATAATACTATATTTTTTTTGTACTAGAAATTTTGTGAAATGAAAAAAAAAATCATAAAACTTATAAGAATATAAGTGAAGTATATGCTACAGCATTAATCAATTTGATGTGAAATATAATTATTAAATTAATAGAATCAGCTCAGCTAGACTATTAATAACATATAATAAAAAGTAAGGGTAACAAATAAAAAAATACATAAATCATATATAACTGTGGTGGTGTGAAATATAATTTTTGTAATTTAATATCAAGCAATACGCATAAAACTCAGCTCGTTTAGAGCCAACTTTAAGCTAATCCAACCAAGCCTTAAGGTAGCTTGGAGCTGAGCCAAGACATGATTTTATCGGAAAAAAAACTTAAAAAATTCTCATATTTAATACAAACTTTCTATAAACAAAATTAACTAATGTTATCATAGCTTAACCTAGTATTTAGAAATCTTAGTATAAGATTCACATCGGCGGATTCAAGAAATCACCTGATAGACTATCAATTGAACATTTGCGAAACTTTAAAATCGTTTAATGTAAAATAAAATGTAAAAAACTCATTTTTCTAGCAAAAAAACTTATTTCTTATCTGTATAATAATTTTAATTTGTATAATTTCTAAAGTAAGATGTTAAAAATTTATACAGAACAATAGCTTCGAATATTATAAAAGTATTTTAAGATTCAATAAAAATTTTTTATGAAAATTGTATATTTTTAATTAATTCATATTTTACATAAAAAAAAGTTATTGTATAAAGTGAGATCCCATAACAGGTATTATCAATATTACTAAGAAACAATTTATTGTATTTTGGCTTAAACCAAGTATTTATCAAATTACTATATAATAAAAACAAATAAAAATTATTATTGTTCCTATTGCGCTTTATGTAATACTTTCGTTACTTTGTGTAACAGTATACCTTAGAATTAACTTAAAAGCATATATTTATTCAAAAAAATATTTTATTTTGATTTTATCACCCGAACTGCGAAATTAATCCATCAGAATAAAAATCCAGTTAAAATTTTAATTAACCGGAAATGTATTAGTTTAAAGATTGGTTATCGTAGTCAAGAAGGTCAATCAGCAAATTTCCTTAATTATGATATGATAAATATGAAATAGATCAGATCAGACGGATCATGTATTAAAACAAGCATAATCGATTCTTTAAAGTAATTTTTAAACTAGTTATAGACTTATGATTTTTTACAATGACAGTTTATAATAATTATCATTCATTTTCATTTTAAATAACATAGTTTATATTTTAAATGGGTTATAGAACCTAACTTACAGTATTTGATTAAACAAATATTTTATAAACTTAAGTCCTATAAAAGCTAAATTTTTATCCAAACTAGCAAGTACCATAAGTTTATTAACACTTTTATGTTATTTTACAATAGTTTTATTACTTATTCATACCAGCTTTAAGGCATGTAATTTCTGAAAAATAATATAATGTATTGGAGTATAATTAATTAATTAATCAACAGTTCTTGATTCCTGATACAAACTCTCTCTCTTTGTAGTTGGAACATCAGCAACTTGAAGCTATTTCTGCAGTAACTTCTTTATTAACCAATTACCATCATGTAACTATTCCTGAAAATCATAATGTTGAAGAAGATGAGATTCCTTATTAATATTTTCAAAGATTGAAAAATGTTTACACTTCTAGATATTTCTTTAGCAAGTACTACGAGTTCTGTTCCAAATATTTCAGATAAATCGGATAGATATTTGGCATTACAGGTTGATGAAAATACAAAACCATTTCTTTGATTGGTGGAAATCCATGAAGCATGAATTTCCAGCATTAGCAAAGATTTTGTGTGATTATTTAGCTATACAAGCAATGAGTGTGGCATGTGAACAGGCTTTTTCTGTAGTAGGTAATATTAATACTAAAACAAGAAATTGTCTTAATCCAGAAACAGCAAATCATGGATTGAAAAAAAATGTAGTAAATCTAATTTGGATTTTATTTTTTTTACTATAATAAATTCATTAATCAAGTTTATGCAACTAATAACATTTGTAAATTTTATTAATTTAATAAATAAACTGAGTTTAAGAAAACAAAATAGTTCAGAAACTGAGTTCAACCCAATATAAAAAATTTAGTTTCTCAGTTTGCATGAAAAAACTGAGCTGAGACTGCAATGTGATCTCTAGTTGTAATAAATGTCTTGTATTAATAATATAATTTCTTAAAAAAATTGAGAATATTTTTTCAGGTTTTAAAATTTAAATAATATCAAAAATATAAAGTCAATAATATAAATTAAATACAATTAACCATTGAAATAAGTATAAAAAATTTGATATTATTTATTTTTAATTTTATGCATTGGAAATGGTTTTATATACTTATATTATTACTTTGATAATTTATATTTAATAATTGGAAAAGTTAAAAAAAATTTATTTAAATTACAAACTAAGAAATTTGTAAAATATTTACTACTCTAGCCTTAGTGTTTAAATAATTCTAAAAAAAGAGAATACATATATGGATAAAATATAAAAAAAAAAGGAATTATTTAAATTACAAACTAAGAATCTTGTAAATATTTTACTAGTATTCTAGTCCCAGTGTTTAAATAAATCTAAGCAACAATTTCTGTTAAATGTATAACACCAAATATCACCCAAAAAAAACTATAAATTCTTATAAAAACACAAAATAAATGGTTATTTTTTATCTGGTTTAATATTTAAATAAATAAATAAATCAAATTAATAACACATAAATAATTTGCAAAATTAATTCTTTTTATATACTATCAGATATTACGTACCTAATGAATCCAAATTAACTATACAATCATCCAAATCTTCACTAGTACTTAATAGCATTTCATTCATTTTTACATTAGCTTGTGAATCTTCACTTTCAAGAATTTTGTTCACTTTTCCACTAGTAGATTGGCTTGAATAATAAGCTTGTAAATCTACATTTTCAAGAATTTCATTCAATTGTTTACTAGTAAAATCAATTAAGCGACTTTTATAATATGCCTGTGAATGAGATTCAGTAGCAAGATTATTGTTATGCCCAATTGGTGCATTTACAAATTCCATAATATTGTATTTTAATTTTTCATTAACATCTTCAACTTTTATATCATATGGAAGGGATATCCATTCTTTAATAATATTTAACACTTCTTCAGAAGATGGTCTTTTTAATGGGGTTTCATCCCAACACTTTTTCATCAATTCTACATAACATTGTGGAGTATTTTCAATAATTTCAGGACGTTCACCTTTACAAATACTTAAAGTAAGTTGAATATCATGTGCTCTATTATTAAATGGTGGTGTTCCAGATGTAAATTCCCACATAATCATAGAAAAACTATATATATCACTAGCTGGAGTATATGTATTTCCTCTTAAAATTTCAGGTGCCATAAATGGTATAACACCATAAATATCATATTTTTTCAAAAATGATTTTACAGGTTTACATAACCCTAAATCACTAATATAAATTTTACTTTCATCATGATTTAAAATATTACCATCATGAATATCACAATGAATAAGCTCTTGCCTATGTATATTATTAAGTCCAGAAATAGTTTCAAATAACATATATAATTTTTGATACCATTTACTTTTGACTATTCTTGTTAAATTTCCTCTTAAATTACCTTTGTTTGCATAATTCATTACCACCATATATTTCAAAGTATCTGGGTCTTTTGTAAACCCATAAAAATAGATAATATCTAATGATAAACAACTATTATGATATTTCCACTATAAAATAATAATAATATATTAATATAAATAAATTATAAGTTAAATTAAAAAAAAAATAAATAATATATTATCATACTTCATTCAAAAATTCATTCAAATTTTCACTTAAATTATTATGAAGTTTAAGGGTTACTTCATTATCTTTATTATTATAAAACCAAATAGCCTTGTATATAGTACCAAATCCTCCTTTATCAAGATATTCAACATTCTTAAATTTATCATAAGGAATCCATAGTAAATTTGCTTCAAGAATAAAATTGTCTATAATTGTATTTCCACTTTTTCCAAATCTATAATAAATTTAAATAATTAAAATTACTATTAAAGTTTATATTAAAAATTTAAGATTGAACAACACTTACTCTAAAATTTAAATAGAAATTTAATATAATATGTCTTAGTTTTTTCATAAATATATATAATAATAACCTATATTTCACAACTTACTAACTAAAGTAAAGAAATTTTATATGAAAGGATATAATTAACAAATAAATATTTATAAAATATATAACAATAAAAAAAACAAATAAACTTACAAGCTATATTATTGAATAATTTTTTTAATAAAGAATTTAGTTAGTTTAAATTATATATAAATATTATATAAATAAATAATAATAGAACTAAATAAATAACTTACACCCTATATTATTAAACATTTTTTAAATAAAGAATTTTAAATAAAGAATTTAGTTTAAATTATGTGTAAATATTATATAAATAAATAATAATAAATTAAATAAATAACTTATAACTTACCATCTATTTAAATAAAGAATAAAGAATTCAGTTAGTTTAAACTATATGTAAATATTATATAAATAAGTAATAATAAAATTAAATAGTTAACTTACTCCCTATATTATTAAGTTTTTAAATAAAGAATTTAATTAATTTAAATTATATGTAAATATAATATAAATAAGTAATAATAGAATTAAATAAATAACCTACACTCTATATTATAAATAATTTTTTAAATAAAGAATTTAGTTAGCTTAAATTATATGTAAATACTAAATATTATATAAATAAGTAACAATAGAAATAAATAACTTACTTTCTATATTATTTATAATTTTTTAAATAAAGAATTTAGGTTAGTTTAAATTATATGTAAGTATTATATAAATAAGTAATAATAGAATTATCACACTTTTCAAAATTGTGCTACCCCCTATAGATCATCTAATAAAAAATTATTAGATTAATCATCCTGCAATCATAATCACCCAATCATCACAATGTACACAGAATTCTGAAAACTGCAATAAATAAATAACTTACTCCCTATATTATTAAACATTTTTTTGAATAAAGAATTTAGTTAGTTCAAATTATATGAATTATATGCAAACATTATATAAATAAGTAATAATAGAATTAAATAAATAAATTACTCCCTATATTATTGTTTATTAAATAATTTTTTAAATAAGTTAAATTATATATAAATATTATATAAATAAGTAATAGTAGAATTAAATAAATAACTTACTCTCTATATAATTTTTAAATAAAGAATTTAGTTAGTTTCAGTTAAAATATATATAAATAAGTAATAATAGAATTAAATAAATAACTTATAACATACCAACTAAAAGAAATTACAAAATAATGTAATTATATGTAAATATTATATAAATAAGTAATATATCTGTCTCTTATACACATCTAGATGTGTATAAGAGACAGGCACCATACCTTTAACTAATTTAGGATTATCGTATGAAAGTAGGTTACTCAATTTCAATAATCTTCCTGAACCAAAAAATTCTGATGATTATTACGAACAAAATGATAATATAATAAGCAAGGAATTTTCAGGTATTAATTAATAATAAATATAAATCATTTGTTAAAGATACTAATAAATTTTTTATTTATTAAATAGAATCTTTAGAATGTTATCGAATTGATATTTCTTAATTGAATATTGATTAAGGTTAAATTTATCCAATTTGTTGAAGAATTATTAGTAATATTGTTTTTTTATCCATATCTAAATTAATATATTATTTTATTTATTGATTTATTTTTTTTTGTTTTAGATTCAAATAGAGATTTTAAAAGTGCAGAAATGGGCTTTTATAATGATAATAATTCGAAAGTAATTAACACCTTAAGTTAGCATTACTATGTTACAGTATTTGCAGTATAACATTTTTGATAAAACATCATTATTTTTCAAATTTTTCTTTTTTCTTTACACCATTAAAGTTTAAAATTCTGTTTAGTGTTAACTTTTATTAAGCGTATTTTGAAATATAGTATTTGATTTGCTTGTATTTATTTCATTTTACTTTTTTTTTTTTGCTTTTCCGAATTAATGGAATAGCATTTTTTTTTTTTATATAATTAAATTAGTGAGAATCACGC